GTAGGTAAAAGGAAACTTTAATAAGCATGGATAAGGCCGATATCACTGCTGTCACAATAATTAAATCACTTACTAGTCCGTAGTTTGTAGTAAAGTACGCAAAAAAGTAAAGTAAAAAAATAATTGATTAAAACTACTTTTACGGATTTTATCGCGTTTATTTTACTATTATTTTTAATTCCCGACGTTTCGGGCGCTTTCCAGCACCCATTGTCACGGGGGACTGAGATGACTAAAAAAAACTTACAGGGGCGGACGTATATTATAAAAGGCTCATTTTATTTCTAAGAGGGAGTAAGTACGAGAATCCTTAATATTATTATGTAAGGTCTTTCAATCAGTACTAATAAAAAAATTAATGTTTTTTTTTAAATTGACAATAAGTCAAACTTGTCATAAAATTTAGAAGACCACTGTGCGTCACAGAATTTACGTAAATTTAAGCATAATAATATGCGGAATTTTTACTAAATATAATTAGAGGAATTTACTGTGATATGACATCTCAATTTGCGAGTGCAGTAAAGAAAACATAGAGATTAAGATCTCATATTTTAAGCGTCAATAAGCAGGCAATGACCCTAATGAGTGGGTAACAAAAATAATGTCGGACGATTTATCGTTGCGCGCGCGCACAGATTTATCGTACGGCGAGAGCGAGCAGAGGAACCGTTGCTAATCCCTTGCAATCAGGGTTGCCGAAATTTAGTATAGCATTAAATAGAATTCAAAACATATTAAATTTCTTTAATGAGGAGTCCACCACCGTGGGGTGGCAGCGGAAGGGAATTCTTTATCCTATTTCATTCCAAAAAAAAAATCTTATAGTTTTTGATATATTACGATTTTTCTGACCGGCGAGGAAACGGCGGACGGAACTCGGCAGGTATTTCCTTTTTAGTCATTTTTCAAGTAAATAATACAGTAGCATAGTAAATACAGAATGGGAAACAATAGCAGACCTATCGGTAACTGATGAATGTTGTATGATGCACTCAAAAGAACGATAAAAATTTTAAGCTGCAACATAGCGAAAAGTGGCAGTTGTCGCCCTTCTCAACAATATTAAAGGGAATTTAATGCGAAACCGTCACAAGCACAAATATGAATAGAACCTCGGGAATCACAATTACTTAGTACATATATAGTATCACAAATGCTTAGTTTTACTTTTCGTAGTGACAGCCCTATGAAATATAAAGAACACACGTGAGTAATTCAGTACAGTTTGTACGAATCCGAATTAATGTTTAACACTTGAAGCGTCTCTCGGAGCGGGATGAAACGAATGTATCGACTTACGTATCGATAGCAGCATTAATTAAATATTATATTATATTAGGCTATGTAATGTAGGGTGAGTAATATATTTCCAATAAGTGATTGAGTGAAAAGAGAGGAGGCCTGTGTCCAGAAGTGGGACCTACATAGGCTGTGACTTAGTGACTTAAGGAAATGCCCGAAGAACTTGTTGTCTGATATCTATCAAGAATTTGGAAAAGATGGCGATATAATCATTTGGAGTTATTCATACTAGTAAAATAGCGAAAGTCCAAACTGGGGACGAAAACTCAGATCAAAGCGAGCTGCTTATAATTCAAAATAAAATCCAGAATTCTCCCTTAACTTTCCATTTGTGATTAATGATTATACAACAAGTTGTAAAAAAAACGCTGTGGCTTCCGATAAGTTAATCGAATTCATCAGAATCGGTATTCAAAAGTATAGAAATGACTTTATTTAGAGTTAGATTCTAATAACGCACCTTACGGGAACCACAGGGTTTTTGCAAAAGTCCACGACAGGACCTTGAACTCTCTCGTTGCAGGAAGGAATGGCCAAAATCACCAATTTTCGGTAGATGGATTGACGATGATAGTTTCAGACGTCTTGTAAGTAATTTATTATAATAAGTAAGTAATTTCCGATCGACGTAGAGACGATTATACCGCCATCTATCGGCGAATATATAGACAAAATGGGGTGATAGATGAGTCAGATAATGAAAATACTCCATTATCCATCCATTACAGACTAAAAAATCCTCTGGTGAAGACAGGCCTCCCTCCTAGATTGTCTCATTTATTGCCATCGTATGAAAGTACTAATTTCAACATATTATTCCCATGTCTTGTTTACATGCATACGTGAGTCAATTTTTTCGTCTTGCGTATAACAAAAAAATTATAATATCGTTTCTTCTCCAAATTGATTTAATAATATTTGATTGACAACTTTTTTAATCAAAACAATTCTATAGATTTAAGTAAATAATGAGGAGAGACCGAATCACATATAATTATTTCAACACTTTATTGGAATTCATGAGAGAGAAATGATAGATTATTGTTATATTTCGGATGTCGAATGAAAATTGTGTTATATCAATATCGTATATAGTTATATGTAAATTAGTGTTTGTTTTGGTATTTTCGTTTTTTTTCTGTTTATTTTGATTTCTGATGACAATAATACAGTGAATTTTCAATTGATGTAACAAAAAACCATGAAGTACAGGTATACGTTACATAATTTTCAGAAGGAAGAGACATTTCAATATCATCTTAAACTTAAAATTTCTATACTACACATGTTATATTTAGATATACGCTACATTCCAGCCAAGTTATAGTTGTTTCTCGAAGGTCGGTTTGACAGGAGAAGGACCCCGCTCTCACAGAGTATCAGCGTAGAATAGCATGTTAATGCTGCATTGTTCACTAGAAATGTGGCAACCGTCTTAGTCCTTAGAGGCGACAACGCATCTGCATTTCGATTCTTAATCGAGGACAGATGTAGATGATATCTATGAGCCACAGGATGTGTGCTCATTTGTCAACCTTATTCTATAAAAAAGCTCACATATCACATACTCGTATAAAAAATGATACGAAATGATCGCTCTTCAGCACCTTCAACGTTTTTTAATTCTTCTCGAACATTAGCCTATTCAAAGAATTCGCCTCAGCGACACGTAACTAAGATTATCCCCTACAATCTAAATACCAAAGAAACCGAAAAATATTCGACGCATCCCGCATTCATTGTAAATAGTACATGGTGAGTTCAAACCGCAAAATCTAACGCGGGCCTTCCGAAACTATTGACAGTGAGTGTGTGGATGCGATCAGACTTAAGCCTGGGATTATGAAGAGACCGAAATAGACGGTTGATATCCTTGAGGATTAAAGGATTTCGTGTTCCGTCCGACGGTGCGGCACAAAAATATCGAAGGCGCGCCGGATGCGACGATCTGCTGCAACATCTAGCTCGTTAATATTGTGATACACCTCTCCACTTCGGTTGTGTAAACTTAAATGAAAAATATTCATTTAATAGCGTTCCAATGCAGCAATCTGTATTTAATTTTCCTAAACGAATTTCACTTTGTTTAAAACGAATAATTTTGATGCGAGGCGCTTTATGCGAGAGGTCTATTCAAGCAATGAAATGATGTGGATTGACAATGACGATGATCAGAGAGTAATTTAACATAATAGTATATCTAATACATGAAGCTTAGGCAATCGTTTAACCTCCAACCTTCTACAAAAAGCATAAGGTAATAAACAGTGGGGCCTAAAATATTTGTCACTCAGAGAGGCCTTTTCATTCTTTCCTCGTAAAGAACTAAACATTATATAGTTTTATGAAAAGAAATATTGGCATTGAGTTCCAATCCTTGCTCCGTGCAACAAAGTTAGAATATTTTTCGCGAGCTTGTGCAACTTCAACTACAAAATTATGTAAGTAATCTTTTATTTTCTTTCGCTGTTCGACGCTGAAATAGGAAAGGAGGATATACCGGTAGTAATTGAACAACACACTTGTGAAAAACTAGATAGAAAGTTATGTTTTGAAGTGTCTATCCTTGAACAGTTTAATATGCCACATCCTTTATGCTCCAGTTATCGATCCTTTATCGTGCATATTTACTTATCAGTGTCGAAGGACAATAATACGATATTGAACATTTCAGTAATAGCTATACATATAAATATTTATATAAGAATAACTTTCATTTATATAACCAAATTATTATTATTTCAGTGGTTCGGGTGGGTATTTCGAAATATATCGCCTCAGATTTTGATACAGACCTTGGTGAATATTATACACAGTTTAGAAAGTATAAAATTTATGAGCTGATTCATGTTGGTGAGATGACATAGACTGTTATTTCAATTGAAGTATACGATGTACTCAAGTAAATAAGTAAATAAAGTCCTTATTTATTAAGTATAAGCTTATTTACCTTATTAATTATACCTCTTTACTAGGATTTGCCCCTTTACTGTGATTTGTACCATGGGAGCGTTTTACATATTTCACAAAGACAAGCATCAATATCCATAACAAGTATTTATATGCCATATAAGCTCTTGTTCTTTGCGTGTTTTGAACCCGCGACCAAAGGTTTAGCCACTGTACCTACTACCGAGTTGTTAATGTTGATGAGCGATTGCCGAAAAAGTGAAACAGCTGATTAGATTAATAATAATTTAATAACTTTCTTATTAATATCCACCTCCATAATTACAAGTTATAAAATTTTAATACGTTAACAGTCGTAAGCTCCAACTTCCGAAAAACGGTTGACCCTGCAGGCCATTCCTGGAATTTCCCGTCATTTTCTAGCAGCAGAAAGTCGGAACGGCTTTCTGGATCTCAAAACGTGGAGATCTGATGAAAACTCGCACTCTCAAAATTGGAACGAAATCTATAACTTCCCACTTTTGAACTTTAATTTTAAGCGGGAAGTTAAAAAAGAAATAGAGAGGACATATCGGACCTTTATACGTTATTTAGTTATACCTTCTGGTGCCCGACTGTCATTATTGGTCTAGGCAGTGATTAACCAGAAACAGCGTCAAATAATTAGCAATAAATTATAATTACCTTTTTTAACAATACTAATATCTTATTATACGTAAATATGTTATCAAACTCATGCTTATGATAATGATTGTTAAACGACAAGACTCAAGAAAATAACTTACCCTGACTCTAGCTTCCGTAAGATTTGTCCACATCGCGATCTCCTCCCTCGTGGACATGTCTGGATATCTATTCCTTGCGAAGGTCGCCTCTAGCTCCTGCAGTTGTTGACTGGTGAAGTGTGTCCGCTGACGTCGTTGCCTTTTGTTTTTCTTATCACCTTTGTCGTCTAAGGAAGGTTCGTCGGGTCCTACGCCGGGGGTTGTGGACTCAGTTTTTATCGTGGGCTCTGATGTTAGAGGCCGGTTGCCTGGAAAAATGCAGAGGCTTTAATAGGAGTAACTTATTTTCCTTCGACAACATATTAATATTTTCTTTTTTTTTAATAATTCCAAAATATATTCCTAGTTTGAAAGAACACGTCTAAATTATTTTACCACAAATTTTAACTTTAATTGTGCGCGAGAAAATAATCGCGTTTGTAGAATATACTGTAATATCGTAAAATATACCTTATTTAATATGATATAAATTATCGTAATAGTCAATTTAAAATAGGAATAAAAGGTAATAGGCTAATAGGTTATTAAATTAAAATAAATACAATAATCTCAAGAGTGTCTCAAAAAGCTTGGAGTGCAGATAAAAAATATTGAATCATGGCGGCCAGTAGCTCCGTCGCTAATGCTCGGGATTAGGCTGCAGGCGCACCTAATACTTTTACGACACCGCTGTAAATACGTTATTCTCGATGAGCGACGTAACACTTTAACATTATTTATGTCGTCGATAATAAACTCTTTTTTGTGGCGTCTATTTTCGTGTAATGAGGTGATAAAGTGGTCGATTAAGATGTTCAAACTTATATTTGTGACAGTTCGTGCTGGCATTTCAATACGAATATGTTTGTTGTATGTATTTCACAACAGTCCTCAATTCCTTTTAGGTAGATTACTGGAAACTTTATTCATGAATGCGATAAAAACTGATCAGTGCTATCAAAGTACTTGCTTTATACATAATATGTACGTGTATATGATTTTAACCGGTGTCATAATATTCCCTAACCCATATCGTATCGTGGCGCCAGAGGGAAACGAAAACAGGAGATGATCAATAGCATCTTTCTGTTAAAAATGCGGTTGCCAACCCCAGGGGGGCTGCCTTTTTACTTTTTACTTTTGAAAATAGCTACCTAAACAAAATAAGCCTGGCAACTATGGAATCCCCCACCCCAATGAAGTTATCTATGAAGGAGGCCTTTGTTCAGCAGTTGACTTTTATAGTGGAGGATGGAATGAATAGATAATTTTCGTAATGGCATTTTTTTATTTTTGTTGACATCATCAAAGTAATCTCGTAAAACCTTTTAAATATTACATACCTAAAATGTTTACACTATTATCTACAGTATCATTACAACATGAGTTAATAATGTGATTTTATTACATTTATCCTCATTCTAAATTTGTTTAATTGTGGTTTATCCGAATATTGTTGATTTTGTACATTAATATTTTAGCCTAGACATTTAGTACACTATGCGTGAGAAAAGCACTCGATTTCATTTCGTTAGCGTTTCACTTTTATCAACAAAGGTTCAAGCGTTAAAATGAGTGTATTTAGTTCTAAATATAATAATATCAAGTAGTAAATAGATTCACTCAGAATAAGGAGGATTGATTTAAAAATTAATTAATTCAATTTGTTCATTTGTCATGAACAAAAACAGTTCTTCGTAACTTGAAACTCGAATAAAAAATATTAACTTTATTATAATAAAATTACGTTATGAATATTATAAAATTATATTAAATTAAAAGCTTGAATTTTAAGAGAAGCTTAAGGTATGCTAACATTAACGCTAAATTTAATCTTTAAAACTCCTAAAAGACTACCAAATTCCACCAAAGTTTTTGTCGGGTATTGTTAGCATATATGCAAGATCTGCCCAAAATATTATTGAATTTTAGATTTTATTTAAATAATTATTTAAATAATAAGATTTAAACTCTGGATCTACGGCTAAAGCGACACTAATACACGGAACATTAACTGGTCCGCGGTCTGGGAAAACATAATTCTTAGCGAAACAGCAAGCCCCAAATATATTCAATGCTTTGATTATATACATTCAATGAGTTAGAGCCGGTACTAGAGTCTGATCGATATGAATGTTAAAAATTATGTCGCGGCCGAGGGGACAAGTGATACGGTGTTGTTATTACATCAATTCGTTACTGATAAAGCGCGTATAGCAATCAAGCCGCATATATTGGGCTCGGCCGAAATCCCTGTGTCAATGAACCAACCGCCCGATGTTATAATTGCCCGACAGTTTCCAATTGTCGAGTTTTCGAATAGAACTAACTCAGTCTAATCCTTTACTGTTTAAGTACGTAATTTTTATCTTAAACGCCTTGTCGTCACAAAAAAAAATAAGCTAGTTGCCGTATGTAGGTAATATTCATTTATTTAAAAACTTAAATGTAACACCTTAAGTTTAAGGGTACATAGATATTTAAACACAATAAATATTTAAAAAAACCAGCGATTGATTAACTAAACAACATCGACAGAACATAATAATAAATAATCAAATGTTGTACATTTTAAATTTCCTAAATTTACAACCGCTTGAGAAGGTGTTTTAAAAGCTTACTAGTTAATTCCTTTAAATGTAATACAATCACGACTTCAGGATAATTATGGGCAGCCCAAATTAAGTATCTTAGTAGGTACTCATTTAGATAATGATATTATCAATAGGAAGCTTGGTCTTTAGCCCTGTTTAATACGTTTCGGATTAGTGTTAACACTTTTATTGCGTATATATATCTTGATTGAGTTTAAATTCACTGATAATTTACTAACATACTTGAATATTAAAAGAAATCGTCAACCTTGAACCAGAAATTTTATATGAATGTATATATTTTTTTTTTCTCGTGTTTTTTTTTTTATCCCCTTTTTTGTTTTTGTTTCGTTCCTTTTTATTAATATAATCATACCATTTTATAAATAAAAAAATAATTTTAATTTTGGAGGTTATTAATTATAACATATAGAATATTTGTATACACGTACACTGTAACAGCTCACAAAGCAATCATCGCTAGAAGTAGGAAGATATCACGCCGAGCATAATCGACCGTGAACAATTTTCTGTAAAAACTGCCTAAATCGGTGGCCATTTAAAGATTACCATATCTCAACACCGTCGAGTATATTAAAACCATCAATCTGTTCCATCTAGTCGTTGGCGCATAATGAACAAGGTAGGATTATAGTCTCAGCTTGGGCAGGGACGCTACCGCGGGCATTCTCTCGGCCGATACCGCCGATAACGTCGGATAGGCGTTATCGCCGATAAGCTTTGTGCCTTCGCCGCCCCATCCATCAAGCAGCAACCTTTGCAATCGGCCGACACGACAAACTTGTAGATAAATAGCGCAGTTAACATGTGTTTCTGATATTGATACACGACGCCACTTCAAATCGAACACTCGATTTTGATAATTCCGCTACAACGTTTCCTTTAATGTCGCAGTTATGTAAGTTTTTGTATTGGCCTTTATCAGTGTTAATATGAGTTTTTTATACAATATTATTGTTTTTAATTTTTTTATGTTTTTTTTTAAAGTAGTACTTGTAGTACTAACTTAATTACTGAAACATAATGTTTCATTTTTGCTTAAAAATATTGATATGATATGATACTATTGATAATAAGGATCTTTTATAATTTTCATTTAATTACTGTTCAATCTGATTTACAAAGACTGGTAAAAATACGCTAACGGTATTTATAAACATTCATGTTTCACGAGGAACATTATAGATAGTAAACTCATAAAAAACCATCAAAACTTAAAACTATTCTTTTAATACTTCTAAATTATACATTATCTTCATCTAACTAACGGCAACCAACACGTTTTTCTATCAGTGCACATTATCAAATCACAACAAGCGCTCTCAAGTCCGCACACATCGCTCCCGCGCTGTTTGTGAAAGCATTAGATCAACAAGCGAGCTATTTGCCATCAGATTCACCGACGATTTACTCAGTTTGCGTTTAGCTTTAAGTTTGTCACTCTGTGTGGTCCTTTTGCTCCCGATTCTTAGGAATTTTGCATCTATTATCATAATGTTGAAGCGAACGCGGTCATTCACTGCTTGTGAACCTACTAACCTCAAAACCGTCGGAGCGGAGGGATTATGTTAGGAGTTTCTGTGCCTCCAGAACTTGGAAACTCACAATACAAACGGAGTAACTGACAAAACCCAATGTTCCAATAGGCTGAACATGTAATCAGCCATATTATATCTCTAAAACTAATGACGCCCAACGTGCTCGTGCTCGTGATATGCAGGAGTTTTTCAGAAGGGCCTAGGTACATTCAGCAGAGAACTTGTTTATCTATTGTAATGATGATGATATGTGTCATCATTAAAGACAATAAAATACAATGCGAAAATAAGACAAAATGCAGATGCGTTAAATTTATGTTTCTATATTACGATTTGAATCTATGTTATGTAAGCTGCAATTGCCTTTTTATTTAAGCGAATTAAATCCTATATATTTTATCCGCTACTGGTCGTCGCTGCGATGATAAGAGGGCTGGTTCTTTTCTCGCTCAAAGTTTCTTTTGGTTCTTGGTATTATACCGCGGGGAATAGGACTGTATAATTTAGGTTTTAAGCTTTTAAGTTTTAGATTTTTAATCTTTATGGTATTTTATTTTATTTATTTTATAGTTTTTGAATTTTGTAGGGTACATGAGGGTAATATGGCCACCTTAAGCTTTGCCGCCCTATGAAACCAAAACTAGCAGGAGGATAGATACAAAAACACAATGTCGTATACTATAACTAACATATTAATAAAAAATAGCAAATAAGCATTAGCAGTAATTAGGAATACTTCAAAAATCAACTTAATAAAAACTAAAATATTTACTAAATAGTGACCATATTAACCGGATGACCATATTACACACATATATATATATATATATATATATATATATATATATATATATATATATATATATAATCGGAATCTCGGAAACGGCTCCAACGATTCTCATAAAATTTAGTATCGATCTAGCTAGGATTTATTTTTAGAAAATGTCCCTTTGTCCGTGTTTTCAGGCAATAAAAAAAACTACTTACTTACTACGTACTTTTAAATAATACGTGTAGTTTAAAGCTAACTAAATTATATTTGACTTGTCTGTTTATTGCATATTTCTGTGTAAGTATAGTGGTATTTACTTACTGTCGTCCGTGTGCTTGCGGTCCCGCCGCGGCCGCGGGGCCGCATACAGTGAGGACTGCTCTACTCCTGAACCGCCGGACGTCAGCGACGAGTGACCATTGTCTCGGAACTCGCCTGTTTCCGCCCATACTGAAACAAAATACAATATGATATATGTATCTCTAAGCCAATTGATTACACGTTTCTAAACTAATTTATTTTTTGTACTTGACCTTAGAATTTACTTAACTAAAGTTAGAGAATTTTCTTTGACTATTTCAAAGTTACGTTATTTTCGAAAAAATCCTGTTTTTCGTTCATTTCGTATAGTTCGTTTTTGAATCATGTATAACCAATGATTTCAAAAGATAATATATAAGTCATAGAATACTATAATACATACATAATAGAACGGGGGAGGGGGCGGAGCCCGTGTAGCCACTAAAATGTCACTAACACGTCAATTCACACGTATAAATGTCAACACGAGATGTGTTTTGACGTTACAATCGTTTCCAAATTTCCCATGCAAATTATTTAGGAAATGCCAAATTGCACGATATTTACAAATAAATATGTATTAAAATCTGTCTGTCAACACAGCGAATCGAGTTTGTAGTAGTGTTAATACGACATTATTTCTTGTATGTGTGCTCCCAGCGACACCGAACCTCGTACAAAATAAGGTTGACAGCCATTCTATTGTGTATTATAGTATTCCTTGATATGTCAATGTGTATTAACATCATTGTAGGAAGTTTTAGTAATGGTTCGATATTCCTAGGTCCAATTTACATATCTCTGCGTTTCATATATTCTCTGAGTTTTCACTGTTCATATTCACTCGAATATATCGAGAATAGATAAAAATATCAGCGTCGTACTGGATTGATTCGATAACCAATTACCATTTTAGTAACGGATTAAGTTTTATCAGAATCGGTCCAAAAGTTATAAAGTAACTGAAAAAATTACAAACTAACCGACTTTTACAATGGATACCTTTTACTAATGCAGGTCCCGGTCATAATATTTAATGGTATTTCCTAATAGGTTTGTGGTGCGAACTTCCATGGCAACCACCATTTTTGAAAACTCACGTAAATGTTGTATTATTTTCGAACGTAAGTATTATACACATATACTTCAAAATTACGAAAACTTAATTAGGAACATTTTGTCACACTCGCCAGACTATTCTTTCGCTATATTTTTTACAAGGGTAAAATTATTTCAACTACGATGAGGTGGTAAAACTTTTAAAAGTATTCCTCTATTTCGAGGTACAACGAACTGCCAGTGATACGGCATAAGTAGCCGTAATTGTTGGGCGATAATTCCTCAATTCATTAATTATTTAATATTTTTATCATATCTTACATCATATATATGAAAATTATTGATTTAATTTAAAATGTAATAAAAAAGACCTTGTAAAATACTTTCATTACAACAATAAGAAGCATGAAAAATAATTAAGTAGTATGTAGTCGTCACTACAATTTACATATCCATTAATTAGATAAAAAAAGGTTTATTATAAATTAAGACCGAATTTTAAGCAAATATTTTTTTATAGAATAAGGGAGACAAACGAGTACACAGTCTACCTGATGGTAAGTGGATGCTGTGACCCATAGACATCTGCATTTATCCTCGATTAAGAATCAAAACGCAGAGGCGCTGTCAGGACTAAGATGGAATGCTTCGTTTCCAGTAAAAAAGGGTCTTCGGATCTCTGCACTCACCATACGAAACACAGCGGTATTAAGCTGCTATTAATCTACATATTATAGCATGTTATAAGTAATAATCAAAATAGATTTTATGTACTTCGTTCTTGTCACACTGCGATACGGAAGTGGGACAACTTCACTGAAATTATTAAGGTAACTCTAAATAGAATAGAAATTTAACGTTCGCTAATTATAGTGGTTAAGACACTACTAATTAGCGAATGTTAAATTAATCTAGAGCTGTCTACTCATAATTTAGATAAAGCCAATAAACGAATATGAAAAGAAAATAAAATTTTTAAAATACCTACATTTAGTTTGGATGCGAATGGAGACGGATAGTATACGGTAATTTTTTTAATACACATTTATGGAAATATTCGGGTATTTTACATCAGCAATATTCAAGCAAGATAAAATACCGTTTGAAATCTATAGCCATATATCTCATAAATCTATAGCTATAATATAGGTCTATATAAGAACTATAATAAAGGTCATCATATTATAGTTCCCTCCAAGATATCTTATGCCGTTACCGATTAAGGTTGTAAATAAACTTAATTTGATATTTAGGTATTTTTTCACTCTGCCTCTATGACCGCCTCTTTGGTCTAGTGGTTGTAGTAGTGCGACAGTTTTTTTATAGGAGAGGGGCAAACGAACATACGGCTCACTTGCAACACTAGGGGGATTGCAGGTGCGTTGCCGGCCTTTTAAAAAGGAATAGGCTCTTTTCTTGAAGGTCCCTAAGTCGTATCGGTCCGCAAAAATCTCTGGTGGTAGTTGATTATACAAGGAAGTAGTGCGAGGAAGAAAACTTCATTTAAATTGCTTAGTGATGGACCGCCAGTCATCCAGATGGTATGGATGATGTCGCGCGTTTTATCGCGATGTGCGATGGTGAAACTGTGCCGCTGGAATTAGTCCGAACAATTCCTCAGAGCACTTCACGTGGTAGATGCGATAAAATACGCAAAGAGATGCAACATCTTTTCGCAGTGCCAGTGAGTCAAGCCAATCGGAAAGAGCTCGGTCGCCGACGATTCGAACTGCTCTGCGCTGGATGCGATCAATTGGAAGGAGCTGGCACTTAGGAGCCCCGGCCCAGAGATGGGAACAGTATTTGCCAATTTGGCCTTCCAAGTGACCACGAAACTGCACGTCGCTCGATACGTCGACGCCGAGGACTCCGATACTGGCTGAGGCAACAAGGGGAGTGCCTTGAAACTGAGGAGATACGACGAAGGGGTTCTTTTAAGCGGTAAACGCTTATTATGAGGTCCTGAGTTCGAATCCCGAGTCGGGCCAAAAAATCAATTATTGAGCTTTGCCGACAAGAAATTCTCAGTAGCTACCCGGAGTCAGAAAGTTGGCGGTATCACACCCCCGTGCTTCGGAAAGCACGTAAAGTCGTTGGTCCTGCGCCTGATCTCTCTCCGGTCGTGTCGGTTTACCGTCCTATCGGATTACGAGAGTGAGGGAATAGAGAGTGCACCTGTGCTTGCGCATACACTTGGGCACTATAATCCTATCCGGCGCCGATGGTTAGTCTGCGTTGAGGCTGGCCGCCGTGACAGAAATTAATAAAATGGAGAACATTATTTTTTACACTAATTAAATCTACTTAGGTATAAACAGCACTCTAGTACCTACATAAAATAATTTGACGACTGTACGATGTTTTCCGATCCAATAAATTTGTGAATACCTCCTCATCTATAGCGCAAATATTACTAAAATACCACTAGAATAAATTCTTAGATATAACTCATTTTTTTTCACCGTTGTCCTTGCCGTTACTGGCATAAAAAGTCCACAGTTGAACATAGGCCTCCTCCATGGATTGCATCATAGGGGGTGTTTGCCATAGTTGCCACGCTTGACAGACGGATCGGTAACCGCAGTTTAGTATTTTTATTTTAATTAGGTAGAAGCTGTTACCAATCTCCTGGTTCGCTTCCCTCGGTCGCCTCTTACGACACCCACGGGAAGATATGGGGTAGTTAGATACTCTTACACCGCCACTACACTGCCGATATGTATGTGTATATGATGCAAAATTTAAATGGTTAAACCATTTAAATTTTGTTTAACTCTTGTGAAGTAACATTGAATAAAATAAACTTAATAAATAATTGTTATAAACAATTCCACTGAACATTCTACTATTGTTTTTTTAATAGGTATGTCATAATCATAATCCATGCTACGTGTAGAACTGAAATCCTTAAAGGAAGTCTTAAATTGAATTTAAAGTTGCTAACAGGACTATTATTTAACAAGTAAATCTTAATTAAATTATTTGTTCGCTGAGCGACGATGACGCCCCATCGCTTACGTGGTAATTAAGTGTCTCCGAACACTTGTTAACAAATTAGTCACTGGAGACGCAGTGGTGTATGTGTGCCCTTATTTATAGCGCCAGTCGCCGTATGAGTCGGGCATGGTAACTGTTATAAATTTAAGATAAAATAAATTGTTATCGATTATGTTTTTTTGTATTTTGTCCTGGGAAAATGTTAAATGTGCTAGAAATTCAAAAAAAATATTATTATGCATTAGGTATTAGAGAGAATAGCCAAGTAATGATTTTGATGATGATATAAATTATCATATTATCATCATCGGAATAAGCGGAAACGAACAGACACAACGAACGAAATTTTGAAATATATTTAAACTTTCATCAAAAGTGTTTAAATTATTACTGCTGATCTCATTAAGAAACATAAAGACGCTTAATCAGATAGAGAGAAGGCGATGTTTGTAGTTTCTCTGAATGATATAATCCGTAATGAGGACATTTGCAGTTTCCGCAGTTGAACCAAAGTAACCAACATAGGCAAACAGAGTAACCTGGAGAGATAAGTAAACCATAAACGCTGTAAGGCATAACGATCTGAGTTTAAAGGACAAAGATATATCAAATGTCCCTTAAGAAATCAGAGGTAAGCGCGGAAGATCATCTTTTCCTTCAGCTTAGAAATCAGCACTCGCGATGCTATATGCATTTACTCCAACGACGCGGTATGTAAAACTATATTTTGCGAATATTTGCCATGTCGGTAAAATCAACTTTCAAAATAAACTTTAGAATTTTTTTCCTATTCTATTGTTACAAAATTTAAATTGACCGCAACAGTCTGACATTATTTTCCTTTATTAAATTACTGGACACTTATTTTTAATGTTTATGTTACAGGAGTGGATTGTTTGATCTCGTGTATACTGTGTTCAAACTTATCGCAAAATAATTCAGGTACGTATAGGTACGGCAAAAACTTCGGTTCAACCTATCGAACACAGCTACCGAACAAATAAAATGATAAGGTTCTTTTGGCAGATTCGACGAACTTCGTGGAAATGCGAAACGATACTTCTCCACATTTGTCGTAGTCGTAGTGGGTAAGT